TATTTCATATCGCATAGCGGTACGGTACGCTAGGTCCCCTCCCCCCTGCCCCCCAGGGCCCCTGGAGCTCTCTTCAACTTGTCGGTCCTTTGCTCTCGGGGTAACTTTTGCCTCTGCCGGCTGCCCCTCCACTCCCTCGCCCTCTCCACGCTAACATGCTTACAGAAAACGTGCTGCTACATCTCACGTCTGCTTGGTTCGCCCCCACTCCATCAACATCCTTTGTCAACAGCAATGATGGCAACAAAAAAGGATCGGTAGTTTTATTTTGCGTCCTAGAAGGTTAATATTTTTATGCGTCGAGATTATTAGTTTCGATATTAATCGATAGTATTTCGGTGCAGAAAAATGCCTTTCTCTACATGTGTAATTCTTACGACAAATTTTCGTGTGTGTTCAACTAACTTGTGTTCAGGCACTGTAAAAAATAACGGTCTACCTACGGTGAGATAACAGCGTGGATTTGACAGCATGGTACGGTACGGTGTGATAACAGCGTCTCACTGTTATTTTCACCGTAGGATGTGGCTATTGGCTATATGGCTAGTTACTTTTTAATTGAAATCACATCCTACGGTGAAAATAACAGTGAGACGCTGTTATCACACCGTACCAGGTACGGTCCAAGAACGGTTTGCCATTGGTTAATAATTGACGGTCCAAGACCGTTGTTAAACCGTAGGTTTTTCTCACAGTGGGTGTAATACGTAATTACGTATTCAATTTGATTATGTGTACTTGTGATCGTGATCAATCTTGGCTGCTATGATTAAATTTTTGCTTTTAATTGTAAGTCAAAATTTGATCAAAGCGTATTCACAAATAAGTAGTCGTTAATTAACTTTCTAAATTCATTTGCGATTTCCCGGCTGCTTTCTGCAGCGGTGCAAAATAAAAACTTGACCGACAGCACAAAATTGTGCGTGTATTCGATTGTCGTTTTTCTGTCGAATTGTACTAGTAAGCATGTGAGCTTTCTAAAGCGATTTTTACGACGGTTACGACATAAAACCTCTGAAAACGTAGGAAACGGAGTCCTCTGCGAATGCCCTCACACTGGTTGAAAAGAGCAAGTCATTGGGAAATCCTAACAACATTTTTAACAGTGCTCTTTTTTTCGTTTCTTTCTCAGAGAGTTTGTTTGCGACAGAATCGGCATGAGGACCACAGAGCTGTGCCGTATATGAATAAGTAGGGTTTTGTGGAGGACTCGGTGGCCGAGAGGCGGGGGACGGTGGATGGTGCGGGCCAGGGGCCTCGACACGGCTGTGGTCTGGCTAAGTAATAACTTGTACGCCCAGTCCTGTCCTAAAGGTGCTCTAACGTGTACTAGTCTAAGAACGCGTGCAATATCGATTAAAAAAACACTGCGGTATTGCGTCAGAAAGATACAAAAAAAAAAGACCATACGTCTCGTTTCTCTCACTTACAAGCGCGCTTGTTGTCTCCCAAATGTTAGTTTGAGATCCGTATTAGACACATGCGGTCTCACTCTTGTAACTGTGAGACTTTGTTGGTCGAACACTTGTAAATGATATACATATGTTGTATTGCAGTTGCAAACATGAGACACCAAGGTGCACTTACAGCTGTTAGACAATGTCACACGTGGGTTTTCGGAGTACACTTCCCTCGTGAAGTGCTTCTCATCAAGTCGGTTTGAACCGAGAGAGGGGCAGTTTGAGGTCCGCTTGACGGGAAGCGCGATCTCTCTTGGGTTGCCTTCATTACATGTTGGACCAGGAGCGCCTCTGGGGCCGCGCGCCTGTCCCCTTAAAAGACCGCGCGGGCCGACATGTCTCCCCGGGGCGCTCTTGTGTGTCATTTTGCTTTCTCCAGATGAGGCGAGACAGTCCCAGGCTCATACATCAACCCCCTGCGCACCAACCCCGCCCCCCCACCACGACCCTGTTATTCGGTAGAAAGAAAAAGAAGATCCTCTTCTCCGGTGGCAGCTCTGGCTCGCCCCCTCTGCTGCCTGTCCTGTCCCTGCCCCAGCCAGCCGGTTCCACTGAGAAAGAGAAGAAGAAGATGGAGCGGTGGAACAGGGGAGAGCGGGACGGAGTGGATGGAAGTAAAAATTCAGGCGCCCGCCTTCCCTTTTCCGTTGCCTGCCGCCCGCGCCCCGACCTCGACGCTGCTCGAGGGGACTCATTTATCGCCATTTCGATAGGGAAATGACCTTAGTCCTCCGGGAAACATTTTCCTGTCGGAAATTGTCGTCACCCCCTTCGCGGCGCGGGCGCGGGCGCTGGCCGCTCCAGCTCCTCCGGCCTGGACCGCCTTTGGCGCCCGGGAGGTAGGCAGCCTCCGGTCGGCGTGACGCGCGTCCGCGGCGGGTGGCCTACCCCGCGGTCCGCAGGCGCTCGTGGGCGCGGCGAGTAGAGCAGGAGATGTGCAGCAGACCGACCGGGCTCTGTTGGGAGTAGTGCAAATTACCCCACTGGGAATTCAAGTGGGTGAATGTCACTCACCTGCAGGTGTGTGAATATCCATTCGTACACTTCAAGGGGTGAAGGTGTGAATTTTCCCTAGAAAATTCACACGTTTATGCCCCTAAGTGTACGAATGGATATTCACACACCTGCAGGTGAGCGACATTCACACACTTGCATATCCAGTGCCGTATAGGTAAATGTTCGCTAGATATGGATACTTGTGTGAGATTTGTAGCGAAAACGTCATCTTTAGTCGTCTTTTGTGGTAATTTTTGTGATACGTTTGTAGCTGTAAAACTCCTCAAAACATTAATGTCTAGGTAATGTTCATATAGGGAATCATTTTCTTGAGGGAACGTATTTCTTTGAACGAAAATCTGGCCTACAACGTTTGGGTCCTTGCAATTCTTCTTTAGCGCTTCGAGGAATTAAACTCGCAACTTCTTTAGCATCCCTGCAATGGTGTGAGCGAACACCTTTGTTTGTCTAGTGAAAAGCACGGCTACGGCTATGGAACTTTAGCCGACGCTGGTAAATATTTGCGAGCGGCGCGGCCGAGCGCGGTGGACACGACCCCACCGCCGCTCCGCACACAGATTGTGGTGAGGGAGGGAGCTGGTGAGCTGGAGGAGAGGAGGTTCCGGCTCCAAAGACGCAAACAGATATGTCAGAGTGTTTTATTGGTGCATTGCTCGCTCCGCAGGCCACTTCTCAAGCAGATCAAGAACTCCGCCGAGTCGCACATCGTGCTGGACTGCTCCACGGAGCGGTTGTACGACGTGCTGAAACAGGCGCAGCAGATCGGCATGATGTCCGACTACCATTCGTACCTTATCACTTCGCTGGACCTGCACAGGTACAACTTGGTCCAGAGACCCACCTACCATTGCGAAGATTTCAGTGACCCCATAGACTGAAAATCATGTACTTTAAATTGCAAAAAGTCCTCATTCGCAACGCAAAGCACATTGCTTCCTAGCCTGTTAAGTCAATTAAGTTCTGTAACTGTGATAGTAGTTACAATTTCATTGTGTGGAATTGCAGCATTTCCTCCATAATTCATTTGTTTCCAGCGTCGACCTGGAGGAGTTCAAGTACGGAGGCACGAACATCACAGCCTTCCGCCTGGTGGACCCAGATAAGCCCGAGGTGCAGCACGCTGTGCGAGAGTGGGCACAGGGCGAGGCGAGACACGGCCGCAAGCTCGACATGGACGCCGCCAAGGTCAAGGTATGCTTCAGTGCCACAAACTAGACTGCATCGGATGCGCTCCAAACCAACCAAAAAGGTCCTTTGAGTGTGATGTTTCGTCTCCTCTTACCTCTTCTCTTTTCTTGCAGACAGAGACGGCGCTTATGTACGATGCGGTGCACCTGTTCGCTAAGGCATTGCATGACCTCGATAGCAGTCAGCGCATTGACATCAAGCCGCTGTCTTGTAACTCGGACGACACCTGGCCGCACGGCTACTCTCTCATCAACTACATGAAGATCGTGAGTCTAACTTAGCACATCATACACACGGGAATGACTGCGCCAAATAGTTTACCTTCGCAATCTTGTTGTTTTCCACTCCGATATCATCCCACTTCGTTTCTTACCAGGGGCAAAGAGTTAAAGAGGACAACGCGGGGTGCCCTTTTTGACATGACAGGAGTTCAGAAACACTTCCAAAAGGGACAAATTCGTCGGAATTATGCAGGCGCGGTTTCATGGGGGGGGGGGGGGCGAAGGGGCGATTCCCCCCCCCCCTCCCCGTCAGCCCAAATCGCCCCCTGGGGTGGGTAGGCAATTTGTCCTACAAAACCCCTGTAAGTAGGCAACCCACAGCAAATCGCCCCCTTCGTCAGACGGACTTAAAACCGCGCCTGGAATTATGTCCCTTATTTTTCTTTCGTAGCAGTGCCAGGAGAGCAAAATTCTCCGCAGCGAAGACCATCGCTTAATTATGCAGTCTGGATGACGTGCGTTGGGGTGGGGTGGCTGCACACGCGGCGCTACTCTGCGGATATTTGATTAGAGCCCCCCTCCCCCACTCTCCGTTTCCGCCCGGTCCAGTCTAGTCGTTCCCCGCGCTTAGTAAATAAATGAGCGCACCCAGTCACGGGGAATCAGGGGAAATCGACTCCTGAAATTACTTTGTTATCGAACTACATTCCCTGGCGTACCTTTGATCCAGTCCCTTTGTCTTCCGGTCCACCCACACGACTAACTCGCTCCGGCTGCGGCAGGCTTGTCCAGGCCATCCCGCGAGCGACATCAGAAATCCACCTGCCGCAATTTAATTATCAACCCTTCTCCGACCCCTGCACCGCCCCGGCCTCTCCCCGACCCCTGCAGCCCACCCCCACCTCCACAGCGCTCCTTCCACCCCACCCCTGCGGCGGGACACTCGTCACCACATCGTTAGTGGGACTCTTTCAGGCGGACAACTTGAGGAGGCAGGCCGCTCCCCTGGGCAGGGGCAGGGGGCTTGAATAGACTGGGGGTATAACCGCCCTTCCTCCCTCCCCTTGCTCTCCGACCCCCCTTTCCCTCTACGCTGGGGCCGTTCTGATGGAGCTGCTGGCCCCAATTGTGCGCTCTTATTATTCTCCACGCTTCCCGCTCGTTGACGCCTTCTTCTCTAGGGCGACGACCTCCCCCTCTCCCTCTCACCACAGCTCCCCTCCAATCCCTTCTCTCCCTCTCTCCCCGTCTCATCGACCTCCGTTGGCCTCAGGTGGAGATGCGCGGGCTCACCGGTACCATCAAGTTCGACAACCAGGGCTTCCGTACAAACTTCGTGCTGGACATCATTGACCTGTCGAGGGAAGGCCTGCGAAAGATCGGCACCTGGAACTCGACATCGGGCGTCAACTTCACCCGCACCTACGGCGAGGAGTACACGCAGATCGTAGAGAGTCTGCACAACAAGACCATGATTGTCACCACCATCTTGGTGAGCGCCACGGCAAGCCACCCTTGCGCTGCCTCCGGGAGGTTTGTCCTGCCCTATTGCTCATGATCGTTTCTCGCCCGCAGAGCTCGCCTTACTGTATGCGCAAGGACTCGAGCGAGAAGCTGACGGGCAACGCCCAGTTCGAAGGCTACGGCATCGACCTTATCCATGAGATCTCCAAAATTCTCGGCTTCAACTACACCTTCAAACTGGTGCCCGACGGGCGTTACGGCTCCCTCAATCGGGAGACCAAGGAATGGGACGGCATGATGAGGGAGCTACTGGACCAGGTACAACCAGTTTCACAGCAATCAGACTTGAGCTAGTGAGGATTTCGCAAGCATAGTTTCTACTGCGGCTAATTTCCATCATTTAGTACTTTGCGTGTACTCTCATCGCGTTACTGATTTTTTGCCGCCCTTTGTCAGTACTCATAATGTTAGGTTTTTACGCAGCAGAAAAACTGACTATAGTGTCCTATCAGTATAATACGGATTAATTCCTGTTTACATTACTGACATTTTTTTTAGTGTATATTGAACGTATACGTTTTAACTGACAAAAAATCTGTTCAGGTCTGAGAGTGTGTATATTGTATATTCACTGTTAAAACCTTACGGGGGAAAATGCCTAATCCTCCGCCGCAATTGCGAAGCATTTCCTTTGAACCACAAAGCATTGCTTCGCAATTGCGAAGGTTTTGGCCGGATTTGCAATTTTGATTCGTAAGGTTGCAACTGTGTGCATATCGAGATGTATTGTGAAAACCTACTTGAATGCCGTACTGACTCTCTCAATTTCCTAACATTATTGTGATTGTCTGTTACCGCAGCGCGCGGACGTGGCGATCGCTGACCTCACGATCACATACGACCGCGAGCAGGCCGTGGACTTCACCATGCCGTTCATGAACCTAGGTTGGTGTCGCGCTGTCCAGCGTCGGACCACCCGTGTGGCGAAGGGTAACTCAACGCCCCTGTTGCAGGCATCAGCATCCTGTACCGCAAGCCCATCAAGCAGCCGCCCAACCTATTCTCGTTCCTTTCGCCATTGTCCTTGGATGTGTGGATCTACATGGCCACAGCCTACCTTGGTGTCTCCGTGCTGCTCTTCATCCTGGCCAGGTGCGCCCCCCCCCCCCTTCATCCCCCCACACCTCTGCCCCAGCATACACACACACTACTATGCTTTGCTAACCAGAGACTGAGCTGGACTTGCACTGCGGACACACTGCCCCAAAGAAATAGTGGTAAAAGTCGGAGCCATGTCGGACCGATACGTTTGTCGCTGTCGCTTCGATGTCGCTTCGACAAAATCCTATTCTTATTGGGTCTTGTTTGTCGTTCCTAATACAGAACACTTCAAATCTACAGAAGTCTTGCAATAGTAATGAAAGACATCACTTTCTGATCTACTTTCACACGTCAGAAGTTGCTTTCTCTTTCTTGCATTCTTCTTTTTCTACTATTCTTCTTTCTCTCTTATTCACATTTCCGCGTGTCGTTCAGCATGAAGCAGGTCTAGGGGGTTAATGGAGACAGCCCACTAAATTTATAAAACATAAATGTTATAAACGCTTCTGTCGACAACCTGAGTTTGTGTGTGTCTGTCGGCTCCGCCCATCCAGCTTCACAACTGGTTTTTTGCATTTGAGAAAATTAAGTAACGCTTTCGTAATTATATCCAGCAAAAACGTGAAACGCCAAAGAAAAAAAGAAATTGCTTGATTCTATTTGCTGCTAGGGCTAGGGCCCCTGAGTTACCGGCGCGTGGGCTGTCTCTGTGTGTTCCCAGGTTCAGCCCGTACGAATGGGACAACCCCCACCCCTGCAACGACGAACCGGACGTCCTAGAGAACCAGTTCAGCCTGATGAACTCGCTCTGGTTCACCATTGGCTCTCTCATGCAACAGGGCTCGGACATAGCGCCCAAGTAAGTGACAACCCCCGCCTCTCTCGTGTTCCAGCATGTTGCGATACCCCAACAACTCCAAAGACTCGGTAGACAGGGAGTTTGGCCTGGTCAACTCGCTCTGGTTCAACGTGGCCTCGATTCTCAAGCAGGGCTCGGGCATTGCCCCCAAGTAAGTGACCGCTAAGTGACAACCGGCAGCAAGGGTTCCCTGGAAAAAAATTACAGTGCCATTCTCCATGTTTTCCGAGAGAATACTGAAAGTAAAGCATGTATGAGGGACCGTGCCGAAGTTGATTCAACATTTCAGCGAAAAGTTTGCTTTTCAATGGAATGCTTGTCGGCTTTGCGTGCGGTCCGACCGCCTGTCGTCCCTTGCTGACCTTCTGCTGTTCGCAGGGCCGTGTCTACGCGAATGGTAGCCGGTATGTGGTGGTTCTTCACACTCATCATGATCTCCTCGTACACGGCTAACCTGGCGGCGTTCCTCACCGTCGAGCGCATGGACTCGCCCATAGAGAGTGCCGAGGACCTGGCTAAGCAGACCAAGATCAAGTACGGAGCTCTGCGGGGTGGCTCGACCGCCGCATTCTTCCGGGTACGGCACCACTGGTCACCGACATATTATTTGTTTTGTTGTTTTCATTTTGCTGGCTTGCATATATAACGCATTGCCATTTCCCGTGCAGGACTCAAACTTCTCCACGTATCAGCGAATGTGGTCCTTCATGGAGTCCGCCAGGCCGTCGGTGTTCACGTCCTCCAACGGCGAGGGTGTGGACCGCGTAGTCAAGGGCAAGGGCAACTACGCCTTCCTGATGGAGTCTACTTCCATCGAGTACGTCATCGAGCGCAACTGCGAGCTGACGCAGATTGGCGGGCTGCTGGACTCCAAAGGCTACGGCATCGCCATGCCACCGAGTGAGTGTACAGTGCAGCTTAGCGGGGTTTCGTAGGTATCTCCCCAATAGAGGCTTATTACACGGTGTTATAATTTATCTTTGTAAGGTGTCATGCTTACCTCAGGGGATACCCATTTATGGTAGTCTCCCAGCACTTCAAAATTTTGAAGGAAGTGCCGTGTAAAAATACTCTACCCGTTAAAAACTTTCGCAATTTGATCGCGACCTTGATCGTGTGCGACAGACTCGCCCTATCGCACGGCCATCAGTGGCGCTGTCCTCAAGCTGCAAGAGGAGGGCAAGCTGCACATCCTCAAGACCAAGTGGTGGAAGGAGAAGCGGGGTGGCGGCTCGTGCAGGGTGAGTGAGAAAACAAAGCAAAGTCACATTGACATGAAATAAAAATCTGGTGCCAAAGTTTTTCCTTCGCGACTGCTCTCTGGTATGAGGACCACTACCTTGTCTGCCCTTTAGGATGACCCCAGCAAGAGCAGCTCGGCGGCGAACGAGCTGGGGCTGGCCAACGTGGGTGGCGTCTTCGTGGTCCTGCTTGGCGGCATGGGCGTGGCGTGCGTGATCGCCGTGGCCGAGTTCGTGTGGAAGGCGCGCAAGGTGGCCGTGGAGGAGCGGGTGAGGATGGCCAAGGCGTCGGCCAGGGCCTCGGCGCCCATCTCCGTCTGATACTGCATGGCATGCAGCCCATTTCTTTTTCTGAGCTTGTTTAATGCATGCTGAGCTGAGGCAAGCAACTGCTGACGCCGGGGACGCCCGATCTACCGGAGAGTCTGTCCTGAGTCTGCGTTGCGTCCGAGGTGCGTCTCGAAACAATTGCATCGCGTTAACAATCTGGTGCCCATGGCCCTGCTCGCTTTACACTGTAATCTAGGGTGCCCAGCAGCTTAAGTTGCTCGACGCATGAATCTGTGCGACCCGAATCGCCAAATAATTGGACTCCTGGTTTTCCTTGTCAGACTGCTCTGTGATCATACCTCATTTCGGAGGTGACAGACAAGTGTGGATGAACTATGGCTCCACTCGGTGCAGTACACGGAAACCAGAAGGTGTCTAGTAAGTCCGCGACTTTGGACGCGTGGATTCTTGTCGGGAAACTTAAATTGCCCAGCTGCTTGGCACCCCAGATTTACAGTGTATCCGGTGAGCCGCCCGAGGCTTAACCTTATGTTTTCAGCATTTGTAGGGTGTAGAAAAACAATGTAGGATTAGCATTAGAATGGGTAGCTCATCAGCTTCACTAAGGTGTTATATTATTATTTTCTGTGCTACACTTACATACTTTATGACATGCACTTGAACTGCTTTTGTACTTAAGACTGACTCAGCTTCCCAATCCTCATTCTATGTTAATTGAAGCATATCTCTAGATTCTGCTCTACTCTTTGCGTAGTAGATAGTAAACCTGCAGTGTCCGTTATCTTCACTCTCCATAGTTTTTAGCCTATGACCAGTTGAATAGCGTTGCTGCGCGTTGCCTTGCGTGGGATCTGAGCCACCGTCGGACTGATATGTGGCGTGGGGATTTGTTGGCAGCGGTGCAATTCCAAGGAAAAGCAACAGCAGCAGGTCATCATGAGGGACGTAGCATTGCATCCGGAATTGCGCTGCTAGCAGAGCGACCGCCCCACAAATTAATCGCGAGAGAGGTTGGTTCAAATCCCAAGTCAGCGTGCTCTTAAACCTGTCGGCGATTTGTTTTGTGAGTACTAAATAAAATACAGCCTCTTAACAAGAGGATCGTGTCCAATAACTAAATCTCCATTCTTCCCCTTGGAAAATGAACAGTGTGCTGTCAATGTTTTATTACCATGTCCAACGTCCCCAATGATTTAACACGCTAGTTTGTTGTCGTATCGCACTCAATGTGTTGATATCTCCTACTTTTTAAAATGTATGTACCCAAATATTGTTCAATATATTACACGCATTTGATTATTATATACTGGTCATAACCGTGGAATACGTTTCTGTTATCTTGATGATGCACACGATATTTTCCATTTTATCCTGTTCTACCAGGTGGCTGATTCACGTTGCGCACTTTCGTAGTTATACTGTACCGCATGCGTGCGCGCAGACGGGCTGCCTACTCGCACGGGGCCATACGGAGCCGTGGGCTGGGAGGATAGGCAAACCCGCCCGAACCCTTGCATGCGGTACAGTATAACTACGGAAGCGCCCAGCGTGAATCAGCCACCTGGTACACATGCTCTATACATTTCACTTGTACGTCGTTGGCAATATATTTATAATTTTCCGAGAAGAATAGTGGTACCAATATCGTGCTCCCACTCAGCACCTTTTGTAAGCCGCACATCCTGGAATGTCACTGATCTGTTTTGTCTTCTCTTTCGTTGCCTGCCCTGCACACCCTGCGGAGTAGAAAGTGAGCACCCCCGTCGGCTCACTGCCGCCGCCGCACATCATATCCGAGATAGTCAAGGACCGCAGCTCCATCGCGTAGCGGACAGAGCTGCCACCCCTGTCAACACGTCTGCACTACTAGCAGTGCAGGCTCTGCTGCACCATCAGCAGTGCTGCCACCCTTGCACTGTCACAGAAGATTCCTAGGGGGGGTAGCACGCCGTCTAGGGTGTAGTGGACCGTCACGCGCGCACGTAGTCACACTCAAATGTGATGTCACGCACTTGCTGGAAAACACTGTTGTGGTCTGAGGGGTGTTGTTTGGCCCAGCCGCTGTCCCGGCTGCGCTTGCCGCTGCTGGTGCTGGCCTGCCCTCCGCCCGAGCCCGCGCAGCCTCCACTACCCCTGGCGGCCCTGCACCTCCCCGCCGAGGGGTCGCTCTCGAGCCCCACGAGCAGCGCGGGCAGCACCACCTACCGTCAGTACGTCTGCATCGACAAGGACGCCCTGTCTGTGAGCTGACCTGGTATGTTTGTGCAAGTGGACCGACTGAACCCGTGCCATCGTGCCATGGCTCCAAAACAAACACTGATGTGATTTTTGTGATTTGTATGAGACTTTTTTTCTCTTCTTTCGAGATGTAATACTACGACAAGAAAAAGTTATCATACCGTTCCTTTGCCGTGTGCACGCTGATAAACCAAATGTTGTACTGCTTAACACTTCTAAGTATTCAACTTGGTTTTTCATTGTAGACCATTCGTTTGAAATCGGAGAGGGACTGCCTACTGTTGTGTTTAAAGTGAAGCTCGTAGGGATATGAGGCCTTTGTTTTACGCTGAAGTCCAAGCCAAAACTGCCTTTTTTCCGAATCGTCGGACCGTGAGACTGTGTAAGTATTTCGATAATCAAATTATTAAATTTTTCTTTAATCTGATTCCGCGTTAAACAAAAATGCACTGCCAGCTGTTATATTCTACAAAGTCTGGTTTCAACTTTTTTTTTTAAATGGACAAAAGTTAAAAGTTATTTCATGATGTCACGTCACATATCCCTACAATTTTCTTAACATTTAGTCACTCAGTGTTCGTACCAAATCAACATTTTAAAAATAAAAATACTACTTAATAACTTAAATGTAAAAAGGTAGTTATGGAAGGCTGTCTAATATATAACTTAATGTTCACATAACATTTACATTGGGAAGGCTTTGGTACAACTTATTTTCTTGGTTAAAATAAAACTCAACATCCAGAGTTTCGAAAACACGGTGACGAGCATACAGTAAAACTTGAAGAATTGAATACCTTAGCGTAATTAGGTGGGAAAATCAAAAATCCAAAGCTACCCTAAACCCATTTTTGAACCATTAACCATGTTATGATAGTTCTTTAATGATTACAAATAATTTATGTAAGGAAGACTCTTTATATTCGTATGTATTTGGTATTGACGTAGACATAGAAAGTAACTGTTACCCATTTTTGAAGAGACATCGCTAGAAGTAGGGGATTACTTCGCGAAACGGAGTAGGTCTACAGAAGCATGAAACACGTAGTAGCCATTATAACTGTATTTTGTCAGTTTCCGTTCATCTTGTGAAAGGTTCGGTGTGGTTTTGAATAAACGGTTTTTGTAACTGTAAGCGGTTGCTTTATCTCCCATCCCCAAAACCCGGCTCCCCTCTCTCCCCTCACACACGCCGATCCCAACATTTATTCAACCATATCGCTGATCTCTGAGAGTACAAGCCAGTAAGCTGACCACAGAGGTCAGTGAGTGACCCAACTTCAATAATGCACCCACGGCAACATGTTGCCTAACTATCGGGCGGTTCCATTCAGTTACCATGGTGTGTCGCGAAGCCTTTTACTTGAGACGTCAAAAGTCTTTCCACCCGTAAGGATGGCCCTATGCCACATCGGGCCACATTGAGTGTGTTTGAAAATTCCGCAACACTGGAGCGTATTGAAAGATACACCCGGTGCATATTGAAATTGCGGCTGGGGGAAAGATAGATTTCTAGCTAATTATACATTTGACATCGAATGAGAAAGCAACAAATGGCAATACTACTTGCCGGGATGGAGCCGGGGGTGGAGGCGGAGAGCGCCTCGAAGGGGATGGCGCCGTAACAGTGGCGCTACCCCGGCCGCTCAGGGTCAGAGGCGGAGCGTATATACTCAGCCCGACTATCCTGAACAAGCCATCGTTTTAACCATCACCCTTATTTCTAACTTGTTGGCTGAGCGATTAGCGAAGCCTATTACTCCGTCTGATCGGAAAAACTTTTTCTGTCTGTTTGTCCGCACGATAACTCGAGAACGAATTGAGCTAGCGACCTGGGATTTTCAGACTCGTTTTGTGTTATGAAAAGACAGATCGAGTTCAAAGATGAGCATTCTAGCTCACAAATTAGATTTTTTTTAAATCAAAAACAACGGGTCCCAAAAATGACGTTTTTTGAAAAATATTTTTTTATGGTTTCCTAGGGGATAACTCATCAAAGTATAGTCCGTTGGAGGAAAATTTGTCCGTTTTGCTCTAGCTCAAACCGTTGAGGCGCTTGAGAGTATTTTTGACCAAAATAAGCAAAAAAATGTACAAACCTGCATGCCTAGTCGAAGTGACGGGCCGTTGACGGCCGGAGGCCCGTATCTTTGTGTACATTTTTGCACTACCCGACTCAGGTGTCAGCGCCGCAGGCGAAGGTAGATGTATGCCAGGTTTAAGGTCTGGCTGACAGCCTGCACTGTTAACGAATTTCGTCATTTCACGATAATCTGTCACGAATAATTCGTAATTGAAAAACGAGTATTATTCGTAAGTTTTGGTTACGAACTGTGCGTAGCGGTATAAAACAAACTATTCGCGACATCACAATTTATTGTGTCAATTGATCAGGATGCTAGAATGTTTGTTTTTAAAATCCTTGCGTCTAGGATCGTTCATTTAGGACAACAACCGAGTTTCGAACTGTTCATCATTTTACGAATGTATTCGTTACTTACTTTAAAATTACGAAGAGTTTGTGTAGAAACATTAACTGGACATTTTTTGTGAAATTACGATATAATTTCCAACAGTGTGTGATTTGCCGTGAGTTGCCTACATGCAGAGGTTTTGTAGCACAAATTGACTACTTTTTAGGCACTAGAGACGTAAGGGCAACCGGCCCGTCACCGCCGCCGCCCCTCCCCCTACACCGCACTTAAACCATCCGGCAATTCCATCATCCCGCTGGCCACTCTTGCCGCCTTTGTTCTACGCCTTCCAGTATTGGCAGTATTGATGTGTTTCATTCCGTGAGACGTCGATTTCGCGGACCAACCATACATATTGCTCGTTTCGACCAAAAGGGGCCGATAACATCATGATCAGTCACTTATTTTCTCTACTAATATACTCCCTTGTATTCATCTCAATATTCACTAGTATGCCCGCAGTGACAACTTTGCCACGAATTCACGAGTATTCACTTTACATCACGGTGAAAAAAAATTCTTGTATTTCAAGACCCGGTTGTGGATCTTATTGGGGAACGCCTATGGCATCCAAGCAGATCTTTACGAAAACGAAAACTATTTTTACCGTGATCCCGTAATATACAGTTGACAGAAATGACGTTCCCGCGTCCGACATTAGAAATCGGCAATTTTTAAACCCACTTCAAAACGTTGATTATACGTCGTTTCGTTCGTTTATTTCTCAATGGGGTTACCGCTTCCGCCTCGCGACACCTTTTATTTTGACCACTGGCTTGCTGCAAAAAAATAATGCACAGGGCCGCACGAAGTCCCCCTCCCCGTCCACGAGACTATTTGTGGCCCTCACGCCAAGTCGCGTCCCAGTCGAGCACACGCCTGCAAGAGGCCCACACCCGCGGGCTGCGCGACCTCCTCGCGCGCCTGGGACTATCCAATGCCTCCTGCAGCTGCACGCCAAAAAGTAGGGCTGGTCACCGTTGCTGTTGTGTTGACGGAACAGCCGCTCGGCGCGGAGCAGTGGCTAGCTGCGCATTGCTGAGTTGCGCACCGGGACGCCATGGAGCAGTTCAAGCTCCTCATGCTCGTGCTCGGTGCGTGCCTAGCCGCCGCACCAAGGGTGGCGAGCTTGCCGCAGCAGGTCAACATCGGTGAGTGGGTCACTTTTAGTGCAAGCGATCAGTTCAGATAATCGATGCTCAACAGCACACACAGTGGTGATTTTGATTGCAACAACGCGCTCCTCTGATAAAACTGAGCTGCTTTTTGCAGGAGGTCTTTTTGAGTCCACGGAGCACGATGTTGGGATCGCCTTCGCCCGCGCCGTGGCTTCTGTCAACGCCGATGACTCGATCCTGCCAGATGTGGAGCTTGTTGCGAAGCCAATCCAGGTTCCACAGTGGGACAGCTTTTACACGGCCAAAATGGGTGAGTCAGCAACACTGTAGGGGATTTTATCGTAAATTAACGAACAAACACCTGTTAAATTTTATACACGAACTTTTCGCTATCGCTTAGATAACAAATACTTGTTAAATGACTAAAAGTTCGTAATTCTTCCTAGATATGTAAGTTATCTATGTCATTGTGTACCTCTGTCAACAAGTGTGCGTCTATAAATTTACGAACAATTTGTTTATTGCCTACGAACAGTTCGTATTTTTGGATTTGACGAACATTGTTCGTATAAGCAGAATACGAACTGTTCGTGAGGAATTTTATCGTAAAATTACGAAATCTACTAACAGTGAAGGTGCGACTCAACTGTGGTGTAACTTAGCAGCAAATTTCTTCAGAAATTCTTTGCAGTCGCTAAGTTTTGTGATGAATGATCTTTCAGTTGTGTTACAAAAATTGTAAAATTACAAATGTTTTTCAACCAGTATGTTTTTATTCGACAGAATGTATTTTTAGTGACGATTTTTTGGTCACGTGGTCATAAAAAAAGAAATGTTGTTCCTTTTTTATCAAAACAACTTTGGTGTTTTTCAACACCAGTGCCATCCAAACAATTTTTGTTTTTCAACGACCATTTTGTACAGTATAGGCAAACCCCCAACTCTCCGGCATCCGCAGTCCGTTCTAAAATTCCCGGTACTGTTAAAATAATGTGCCTATGCAATTTGCTGCTCAACTCTGGAAAGCGTCTTCAGGGTAACGGCATGAAAATCTCGGAAGGTATCTTTCTTGTGCTCCTTCAAATAGCAGTTGGGCATGCTCTAAAGATCAAGCCGTGCGCGAGTGTGTTTTCAGCGACGGTATGAGGCGCCCTAATAATGTGCTACTACTGCTGAACATTCGTAAGTGTGCACCCCTATGCTAGTTAAATTCTATTAAGTGTGCAACTCCGCTGTTGTTCCCTTGCAAGTGTAAATCTCTGTAGTTGTGCACCTTCAAGTATGCAACTCCGTGGTTGTGCACTTGCAGGTGTACAACTCCTCTGTTGAACACTTTCCTACATTGAATGCTCACTGTGCAGTTGCAGTAAGTGCTCAACAGAGGAGTTGCACACTTACAACTGCACGCGGACCAAGTTGAACACTTACAAGTATGCATCTTGCTGTTGCACACTTACAAGTGTTTAGCAGTTCCACATTTAGTTTATCAGCGCACGTGCAAATTGTGGCAATTTGTTTCTAAGGGGAATAAGAGGAATATCCACAGAAATGTGTCTTACATTTGGCTGTGAAAAATATACTTATCCGTCGTTTCTTGATTGTGCAGTCTGCGAGCTGATGTCAGGGGGGCTGGCGGGCATCTTCGGGCCCAGCTCGGCGTCTACCGCCCCGCAGGTGCAGGCCGTGTGCGACACGATGGAGGTCCCGCACATCCAGACGCTCTTCAACCCTTACCTCAACAGGGAGACGTGTTCCATCAACCTGCACCCACACCACACCACTTTCGCCGAGGTCGGTACATCACATTCTTCGTGAGAAACGCGGTGCTAACCAGTTTTTCAACCCAACATCTTCTCCCAGATCCTCGTACGACTGGTGGACGTGTACGAGTGGAAGGACTTCACCATTCTCTACGAGGACGATGACAGCCTAGTGAGAGTCACCCGGCTGCTGGAGAAGTACGACCCCAGAGGCCCCACTGTCACCGTGCGTCAACTTACTCCCGATGACATGAAGTGAGTGATCGACGCAAGATCGCATTCGTCGCGTGGGCAATTGTTTTCGCACCTCAGACTGAGAGCTTTTGGTGTTGACAGACCGGTCTTCAGGAAACTCCTCCACGATAATGTCAAGAACATCATAATAGACTGCAATATCAACACGCTGAGGGACGCGTTGGCTCAGGCGCAGCAAATTGGCGTCATGGGCAAGAACTTCAACTACATCATCACGAATTTGGTGAGCTTCGAAGCAACAGGGGTTGGGACATGACGCCAGTTTCCTATGGCCATGGTTCTCCCACACCCGGGTATTGATGCTCTACCCCATTTCTCTCTCGCTTTATCTCTCTCTCTCTCCCTCTCTCTCGGCTCCACAGGACTTCCATACTCTAGACCTGGAGCCCTACCGGTACTCCGGCACCAACATGACAGGTCTGCGCATCGTGCGCCCGGACAGCCCGTTGGTGAAGAGCGCCGTAGAGGCCTGGGCCTCCGCTGCGGCCATGGCGGGTGATACCTCAGACCTAGAGCCCGAAAACCTTAGGGTAAATTAATTTGGGGGTTTCAGGGGGTTGCTGGGTTTTTACGCAATTTTGACTTAACCGATGGTGTGCAGATGGGCCCAGCTCTCATGTGGGACGCAGTGCATCTGTTTGCGCGCGCCCTGGAGCGGCTGGACCAAAGCAGGATGGTGGAGCTGCCTGCGCTGGAGTGTGACGACAAGAAGGACCAGCCCGGCGAGCGCGGACAGGCCAGCTGGGACCACGGTTTCAGCCTCCTCAACTTCATGAGAACGGTACGACGCCAGCGGAATCCGAGGGTCGAATCACGTCCTTGCACGTTCTCGGTGGTCTCGTCGTGAGGAGAGGAAATGATGGCAAGATTTGCGTCCTTTTTTTCCGTTTTCAGACTGAGATCGAGGGGCTGACAGGTACACTAAGATTTGACAACCAAGGCATCCGCACCGACTACTCACTTGATATCGTGGAGCTCAGCCCCGACATGGAAAGCACCGTAACAATCGGCAACGTAGATCTTAACACGTTTAACCTATCGCGGATCGAGCGCGCTAAGGATGATCTGCGCCGAGAACTGGAGTCAGTGCGCAACAAGACCTTTGTAGTGCAGATCGCTCTAGTGAGTAACGAATGACTCTTGCCCGATGCTAATGGGAGAAATAGGGGCACCTGTTCCTTTGTTTGATCGACCACCAACATTCGGCAAAGTTTCATTCCAGTCAGAGCCTTACAACATGCTGCAAGACTCAGCTGCAAAACTGACGGGCAACGACCGCTACGAGGGCTTCTGTATCGACCTGATTAAGGAGCTTGCGCTTCAGCTCGGCTTCAACTACACCTTCGTACAGCAACCAGACAACGCGTATGGGTCCTGCAATGCTGTCACTGAGAGATGCACCGGAATGCTAGGCAAGGTGCAGGACGGGGTGAGAACCAACATACGCCATTCCACGGAGGCCTATGCTTGTAAAACCGGCGTGCGTATGTAACGAGATGCGTGTTTTCGAAACTAAATTGCACGCAAGATGAATACTGCCCACGGACTGCTAGAGGTGTGCGAACCACTCCATTTTCAGGCCGAATCGAATCGATTTTTTTCCCCCGAATCGAATCGAATTTGTATTCGATTCGCTTCGGATTTGAACCAAATTCTGAATAAATTGATTAAAAAGTGCGGTATTCTACCGAAAAATGCTATACTTTGGTTGACTTTGGTGGTATTAATTCGAGTTCGAGATTTTGGAAATTTAATTCGCATTCGAACCGAATCGAATCTACCTTGTTTCGATTCGATTCGGATTCGAACTGTTCGCACACCCCTACGGAAGGCTACTTTCTCTGTGTGGACATGATTGTTTTTAACGTAATGCAAATGTGCAATTTACCTAATATTTTACGAAATTACTCACAGGTTTAAAAATTCATAGGTTAACCACACCGAAAAGCTTAAAAGTTTGTAGTTACACACATGTACCCTCACGCTTAAAAGTGTAGTATCAGTACAGTACTACAGTTGGAAGTTTGATACGGTCTGGTTACAGTTTTAACAGCGATACTCATGGTATTGCACTTATAACTGTAGCACCGTACTGTAAGGCACTTAAGTCTCCAGAGCACCCGTAGCACGCGGAGTATACCCCGGCAACTTCGCATTGCTTCAAGAAAACGATTTTCTAGGGGGAAAAATTCCTGATTTTGGTGTATGGTTTCGAACAGGAAGCTGACCTTGCCATAACGGATCTGACCATAACCGCAAACCGCGCGCTGGGCGTGGATTTCACTGCACCGTTCATGAACCTGGGCATCGGGTTGTTGCACACCGTCCCGCAGCAGATGCAGCCCAGCCTCTTTTCCTTCCTGGATCCGTTCTCTGGCGAGGTGTGGGTGTATCTGCTCGCCGCCTATGTCGTCGTGTCCGTGGAGATGTACATCATGGCCAGGATCGCGCCGGCCGAGTGGACGAACCCGTATCCGTGCATCGAGGATCCGGAGGAGCTCGAGAACCAGTTCAGCATGCTCAACGCCTTCTGGTTTACGATTGGAGCTATTATGCAGCAAGGTTCCGAAATCGCTCCAATGTAAGTGTTCTGGAAACTCAAGTGTCGTACAGTATGACAGTTTCAACTGTCAGAGTGTACGAAACTTAAGTTTTCCAGAGTGTTCCTGTGAACGTTTTAGATAAATTACAAATGTATCATGCTATTGTGCTCGTGACCCATATGGAACAGATAATATGTTTTACATCTAGTGAGAAAGCGCTTGCTCTTCGTAAAACCCTTTTTTGTTTGGTCTCTCCAGTGCGCCATCTACGAGGATGGTCGCCGGCATGTGGTGGTTTTTCTCTCTCATCATGGTGTCGTCCTACACGGCCAACCTGGCCGCCTTCCTCACTGTCGTGCCTACCCAGGAGCTCATCTCAGACCCGAAACAGTTGCTGAACCAGAACAAGATCAAATACGGCGCAAAGTTTGACGGTGCAACCTGGAACTTTTTCGCGGTAACCCATTCTCGGTGTTCATAAATATTGCATTGTAAACCCAAGCGTGTACGTAGTACACTCTTACTTGTGTGTACTTGGAAGCACATGTAAGGCATTGCACACACTAGGAAGTGTGTACATGCTTGGCGCACACTTGGAAGTGTGTACTTGCTATAGTCCTACGCTATGTGGCACGCACTTCCTTGTGGGCACCATACCATGCACACCTTTCTTTGTGTGTGCTTTCAAGTACACACAAGGAAGAGTTCACTATGTACACACTTGTGTTTACAGTGTGAATAACATAGGGCAGTTATCAAATATACTTATGATGGGCCTTGTTAACATCAGGGGCGTATTAAGGGGGGGCGCGGACAGGGGGGGCGGTGCATCGAAAGTTGCCTACATACAGGGGTTTTGTAGGTCAAATTGCCTACCTTCAGGCGGCTATCTAGTGGCCCACAGGGGGGGCGATCGCCCCCCCCCCCCCCCTTAATACGCGCCTGGTTAACATGTAGGCATGCGCTGTCTTTTTGTTCCTGGTTATGCCGTGCCGGATTACACGAAAAAAAAAGATTCGCTGAGTCAGCTAATATATTGACTGGTATCTGGACAGACAAGCACATAAACTTCTGTAACCACTATATTGTCTACTTTAATCAATCATTGGCTGTGCCAGTCAAAAATTAGCTGTAAGAGCTTATGCCTTACCTAAATCAGTCGAGGTCTACCTTCCTGATGCAGGCTAATCATTACTTCATACAACTTATCTTTGACTGGCACAGCAAATGATTGATTAGAGTAGACAATATAGTGGTTACAGAAGTTTATGTGCTTGTCTGTCCAGATACCAGTCAATATATTAGCTGACTCAGCGAATCTTTTTTTTCCGTGATATTCAGGCGTGCAAAAATACGTTTTTATTGCGTTAAATTTTCGTTACAGTAAGCGGTAGTCGATTGTTTAGATGAACTACATGAAGTGTTCCTTGCTCTGCAGGCGACAGAGGACCCCACTTTCAAACAGCTGTTTGCGAACCTGGAAAAGGACGAGGACAACGAGCAAGGATTACAACGGGTCATCAAGTCAGAAGGCGAGTACGCCTTCTTTATGGAGTCCTCGTCCATCGAGTACCAGGCGCAGCGCCAGTGCGAAGTGCGCAAGGTGGGGCAGAATCTCGACGAGAAGGGCTACGGCATCGCCATGCGCAAGAGTAAGTTCCACCGTCTCCCTGGAGTTTCTCTGCTCGAATACCGAAAAAAAGTGTGCAACTACTGGCATGTTAAATATTTCGCTCAATGCTGTGCGCTTTAACGCATGTGTTGGACTGCAAATTTGAATACCTTAAAGTAACAGCAAATTTAAACACTTTTAAGTGCCTGAAATGGCCCAAAGCTGCACGGCCAGCCCAAAAGATCAACATCTTTACGTATTCAACATTACTGCCACACTTTTTAGTATTCAAAAACCTTCGTCAAACGATAAAAAGTGTACATCGCAACGTTTAGCCCTTGCACGTCCACGCACACTTAATCTAGTAGTGCAGCGCTTTCGTACCTCAATCCTCATAGCACTTATGTGGTACCACATTTTAAGACAACCAGAGCAGATATTCTGTTTTTCGCAACTCAGAAGAGGCATCATCCCAGTAGTGTATGTGCTACTTGTGTTTTTAATGTAAAATTGTCTTTTGATTTGTTAACGAGCAAACGGCATTGAAAGCAACTGCATACCTCTTTTCGTCGTTGCGTTAATCCCCTACCCGTTTGCCCCAGACGCGCCTTACAGGTCCGCGCTGTCCGCCGGCGTCGTCAAGCTGCAGGAGAGCGGCAAGCTGTCGGAGCTCCGGACACGATGGTGGGAACAGCGGCGCGGTGGCGGCAAGTGCTCCGGGGTAAGCAATAACAAATAGTCAGATCACGTCTCACGTGACGAGCTTCGCATTCTGTCACGCGCCTGCGTAGTACATCTACATGACCTGGCCTGCTCTCCTGGTGAGACGCCCTCGGCCATCTCCGGATCAGGGACGTATACCTAAGAGCCAGCCATTGGGGACGGCTCGGGCGGCGTACACCAGGACACTAAAATTTGGTTGGGTCAGACGCACTTACTCATAGAGTGAGAGTCTGGGTTTGCAGTGTCCGCCAAACCTTTAAGGTGAGTTTTAATGGAGCTGTTTTCTCACCCTGTGTACCGTGCCCTCCCACAGGCCCCGGAAGCGGACAGCTCGGACGAGCTCGGTCTGGACAATGTAGGCGGCGTGTTCCTGGTCCTGGGGGTGGGCGTGTCCCTCGCCGTGCTGCTTGCCTTTGCCGAGTTGCTCTGGGACCTGGCCGCCAAGCGCCACAGCGGCGAGGTGGCGTCCTTCCGCGCGGAGCTGCTGGAAGAGCTCAAGTTTATCCTCAAGTGCAGCGGCTCCACCAAGCCCGTCAAGAAGTCCGCCAAGTCCGACGAGGAGCAGATCGAGGACGCGCTGAAAGAGTTCCAGCCGCTCAGCCCCTACGCCGTGGTCGATAGCGAGGAGGGCGCTATACAGAACCACAAGGAGCCGCTTTACTAGCGGCGTCACACCACACACCACTGTAAATGGTGTCTTAACTGATTATAGTCTGGAAAAACCCTCTGCTGAAAATAAAAAGTTCCGCAAAAGGAACGGACTTTAAACGCAGATGACTTAAGCGGAAAAAGAAGGACGAATTTTAGTTCAAATAGCTAAGTGTTGTGCATTATTTTTTATTTATTTTTGTAGAAAAAATGCGATGTGATTAAAAGTCGGACTGGCCTGGAAATTTTTGCCTTTGAGAAAACTCACTCTTTGCTGAGGGAAAGGGGGCCGTATGCGGTTTTCTAAATGTGATGGGGGTGGGCGACAGCGCAGCTTAACACCCACGCCCGTCATCGTCCTGGCTCTAAACGTACAAGCTGTCTAAAACCTTACATTAGTACATTGTATATTTTGTTGTTCTCTAATTCAGTGTCAAATGTACGCCATCAGCTAAGAATGTAACATTTTTCTTGAAAGCCACAATTTTTCTCTGTACAAGTGAACATTTTCATCTTTAAGAGAAACACAAGGGTAGATACCAGACCACGACTCGGGTAAGAGACTTCGCGACACACTGCGGTTACTTAATGGAACCGCCTGATAGTTAGGCAACATGCCGCCATGGGTGCACTGGAGTTGGGCGCTTGCCTATCCTGTGGTCTGCAGGGGTCCAACTCACTGCCACTGCACGCGGCATTGGCGAGGCGGAGAGTGCCTCGAGGGGTGTGGCGCTGCCGCAGCGGCGCTACCCCGGCCACCCAGAGTCAGAGGCGGAGCGTATCTTCTGCCCCCCTCCCTCCCCTGCCCCCTTCATCATGTAACTCCAACATCTGCTGCTGGTCCTTACTGGTCGCCTTCATACCACTCCTGTGAGGTTTGGTCGTAGGTTGCCTGGGGGTCAGAAGAGAGAGGTGATAGTGCACCGACTACTATCAATATGGTACTCACTTGAAATGGAAGTGTGTGAACGTCGCGCACTTCACACCTGTAGCTGTGTAAATCCCTATTCGTTAATACACTTAAGGGAGTAAAGTTGCGATTTTTTAAAAAAAATTCACACGTACGGTACTTGTGCCTCCACCTGTGCGAAAAGCGTTCACACACCTACAAGTAAGTGACATTCACACACTTATGTTTCCGGTGTGTACTCATGACCGTCGGTGTGTTTAAAATGTCCGTTGGACCATTAAAATCAAACAAGCGAAGCACAGAAAGCAAGCAAAGTATTGTTATTATACCGCGACGAAACGTTTTTTTTTTTTTAATTATGCTGTTCCTCTTTTTAATCCACCGACCAAGTTAACAAAAGCTCGCTCGAAATGATTTGAGACCAAAGACAACACATCCCGAATTGTATCGGCCTGGACACGATGCGTCGTTCTATGTTGCCCAGCTTGTCGAAATATGTGCAAACATCGAGGCAAACACAGTGAAAATACAACAAGTAAACAAACCGGTACCCAACATTTGACAGCCAGCTGAGCTGCTCGCCGCCTCCTGTCTTGTCGTTAAAAGCTTCCCCTCCCCAAGTCTATTTTTGTGGCACGCACGCCACGCCGCGTCGCACCACGTCCCGGCACGCCACCGGCCGCGTCAGTCGCGCGCACGCGTGCAGGAGACGCACACCCGCGTGTTGCAGAGACTCCTCGCGCGCCCGGGACTGACTGGCCAATGCATCCTGCAGCTCCACGTCAAAAAGGAGGGCTCGTCACCGCTGCTGTCCCTCTGAGGGAGCAGCCGCCCGTCCCGGAGTGGTGGCTGTGGCTAGCGGCACAGTGCTGAGCTGAGCACGAGCACCAGGACGCCATGGGGCAGCTCAAGCTCCTCACGCTCGTGCTCGGCGTGTGCCTCGCCGCTGCCCCAAGGGTGGCGAGCCTACCGCAGCAGGTCCATATCGGTGAGCGAATACTGATTATTTTTTGATTCGACGTCCAATCGACGTTCATTTGTGAATCGAAGCTTTCAACGAATCGTGGGATTTCACTAAGTGTCTTACTCCGTAGTTTTTACACTTGCAAGTGTTTAACACGGGAGGTGTGCAATGCAGTTGCAAGAAAGTGTGCAACTCTTGCGCTAAACGTTGAACGCTCACTGTAAATAGTTCTTAACAGAGGAGTTGCACGCTTGCAAATACTCATCTTACACTTACAAGTTTTAAGAAGTTGAACACTTATTTTATGAGTGTGCTGTCTAAAATATAACTATCTTTTGTGCATCGTCGACGCCAAACATCTAAACATTTAACCGCTGTCTAAATCGGTTTCTCGCTCGAGTTCTCGTCGAATAATAGTTGTGATTAGAAATTGCCGGAGAGTTATTATCATGTGTGTTCATATGTATAACTAAATATAGTTGTGTGGTGTGATTACTTGTGTGTAAACAGTATAATCAAACCTACTGCTCTTTGCAGGAGGACTTTTTGAGTCCACGGAGCACGACGTTGGGATCGCCTTCGCCCGCGCCGTGGCTGCCATCAATGCCGATGACTCGATCCTTCCCGATGTGGAGCTCGTTGCAAAACCCATCCAGGTCCCACAGTGGGACAGCTTCTACACGACCAAAATGGGTGAGTCAGTACAATAAAACTTGAGAAAGCCCTTGCAACGCCTAATGCCTAATGACTCGAAAATCTCACGCTGATAGGGAAATCTTTGTGCCTTGAGCTAAGGTTTTCGTGCATCTACAGTCTTAAGAACCCAACAAAAGTTGTCATTCCGCAACAACAAAGGTAACCAAAAGTTTAGCAGTGCCATTCTGCTATACTTTAAATATAGACTTGTTTTTAAAAACAGGGAATTCCCTGTGGGAAGTTCTGTCGGTGTGTTTCTAGTGATTCAGACAGGCACCATTTGTCTACATATCCAGGGAGGATAAGGAAATTGGCGTAGAAATTTGACTCATATTTTAGCGTTGTCAAATAGTCATACATGTCTTTGTTGGTGGCAGTGTGCGAGCTGATGTCAGGGGGGCTGGCGGGCATCTTCGGGCCCAGCTCGGCCACCACCACCCCGGAGGTGCAGGCCGTGTGCGACACGATGGAGGTCCCGCACATCCAGACGCTCTTCAACCCTTACCTCAACAGAGAGACGTGTTCCATCAACCTACACCCACACCATAACACTTTCTCTGAGGTGGGTAAACTACATTCTTCGCCGACACCATTGTATATTAAAATGCGTCAGAATAATTGCACTAATCACAGGCAAAGATGAGCCCGCAAAGGGTTTTATTCAGCACTAAAACAGTGTTGGGGCAGATGGCCTCAGGAAGCAAGAACAGCCACAGCATTTAACAGACACACATCAGCTCGCCTACCACCAGCCAGTGGTACGTCGGTCTCATTTCAACGCCTGCTCCCAGATCCTGGTTCGGCTGACGGACGCCTACGAGTGGAAGGACTACACCATACTCTACGAGGATGATGACAGCCTGGTGAGGGTCACCCGGCTGCTGGAGAAGTACGACCCCAGGGGCCCCACCGTCACCGTGCGCCAGCTCCCTCTCGAAGACATGAAGTGAGTGGGCGCCTGATGCAAGCTCGCGGTCGTCGTGGATTACCGCGCCACACCCCGCCGTTTGCGCGGCCGGCGCGGCGACTCTAGGTGCTGTTTAAGGTCCGACTGCTAGCCGGGGGAGGGGGAACTGGAAATGCAAGTGTGCAATTCCAGTGGGGGTTCTATATTATGGTTTCCTACTTTTTCAGTGGGTTTGTACCGGGTGATTCAGAGCACGCGCCGCCGTGTTGCGGGCTTGCCTATCCTCGACTCGGCGGGCGCACGGGTGAGAGGTGAGGTGGAGAGGGGTCCACTCTTCACCTCTCACCCGTGCGCCCGCCGAGTCGAGGATAGGCAAACCCGCAACACGTTGGCGCGTGCTCTGAATCACCCGGTGCAGGGAGTTGCGTACCTTCGAGTTGGCTTCGAAGGACAATCCCCCACCTGTCCCAAACCATGCATGGTCGCGATCCGGATGGTTGCTGAAAGCTCTTCTTGTTGGCAGGCCCGTATTCAGAGAGCTCCTCCACGACAATGTGAAAAATATCATCATCGACTGCGGTATCAACACACTGAAAGACGCGCTGGCCCAGGCGCAGCAGATTGGCGTCATGGGCAAGAACTTTAACTACATCATTACCAATTTGGTGAGCTGAAGTGACAGGGATTAAAGCAAGGCAGATAACGTATCTCTCTCTCTCTCTCTCTCTCTCTCTCTCTCTCTCTCTCTCTCTCCTCTCTTTCTCTCCTCTCTTTCTCTCCTCTCTTTCTCTCCCCTCTTTCTCTCCTCTCCCCTCTTTCTCACTTCATCTCGCTCTCGGCTCCACAGGACTTCCATACTCTAGACCTGGAGCCGTACCGGTACTCCGGCACCAACATGACAGGCCTGCGCATCGTGCGCCCGGACAGCCCGCTGGTGAAGAGCGCCGTAGAAGCCTGGGCCTCTGCTGCGGCTATGGCGGGCGATACCTCAGACCTCGAGCCCGAAAATCTTAAGGTAAATTAATCTGGAGTTATCACGTGTTGCTGAGTTTTGACGCGGTATAGACTTGGTTTGTGGTGTGCAGATGGGCCCAGCTCTCATGTGGGACGCGGTGCATCTATTCGCGCGCGCCCTGGAGCGGCTGGACCAGAGCAGGATGGTGGAGCTGCCTGCGCTGGAGTGTGACGACAAGAAGGACCAGCCCGGCGAGCGCGGCCTGGCCAGCTGGGACCATGGCTTCAGCCTCCTCAACTTCATGAGAACGGTACGTATTCTCTGTTGTTGCCTGTTGCCGTGAGGGATTGACGGCAACAGCTGCCTGTACGTCGATCTTTTCCGTTTTAGACTGAGATCGAGGGGCTCACGGGTACCCTTCGGTTCGACAACCAAGGATTTCGCACTGACTACTTGCTGGACATCGTGGAGCTCAGTCCCGCCGGGGAGAGCACCGTTACAATCGGCAACGTAGATCTTAACACGTTCAACCTAACGCGCATCGAGCGCGCGAAGGAGGACCAGCGCCGGGTACTGGAGACGGTGCGCAACATGACCTTCAGAGTCCAGATTGCCATAGTGAGTAACAAGCGCATATTGTCTGTGATAAATACGCAAACGTGAGCCATTGTTGCTCGATCGACTTCCCACAACCAACCTTCAATGTCAGTCAGAGCCTTACAACATGCTTCAAGAAACGGCCACAATACTGACGGGCAACGACCGCTACGAGGGCTTCTGTATCGACTTGATTAAGGAGCTAGCGCTGAATCTGGGCTTCAACTACACCTTCATCCATCAGCCAGGCATGTCGTTCGGGGAGTGCGACAACATCACTGAGAGATGCACCGGCATGCTGGGCCAGGTGCAGAAAGGGGTGAGTCACCTACCAACATGGCATCCCTCACGGAGTCCCCCCAAAGCGGTAACGAGACGAACCAACGTGCGTTCTCGAGTCCACCCTCATCCGAAATATCGGTGGCGGAATGAGGAATAAGCAAGACGAAATTCCACGATATCTTTCTTCTCTCTCATGGAGATGAAAAATCGACATGAATCGATTTTTGTTGCCCCGTGAATAAGTGTTTTACTTCTTTGTACTTGATGACAGCTATTCCGCATTCATTCGTTCGTCCGTTCATTCATTCGTTCTTTCATTTTACCTCCCACTGCTTACTTTTCAAAATTGTTTCAAACAGGAAGCTGACCTTGCCATAACGGATCTGACCATAACCGCTAACCGCGCGCTTGGGGTAGATTTCACTGCACCGTTCATGAACTTGGGCATCGGGCTGCTGCACACCGTCCCGAAGCAGATGCAGCCCAGCCTCTTCTCCTTCTTGGATCCGTTCTCGAGCGAGGTATGGGTGTATCTGCTCGCCGCCTATGTCGTCGTGTCCGTGGAGATGTACATCATGGCCAGGATCACGCCGGCCGAGTGGACCAACCCGTATCCATGCATCGAAGAGCCCGAAGAGCTCGAGAACCAGTTCAGCATGCTCAACGCTTTCTGGTTTACTATTGGAGCTATTATGCAGCAAGGTTCCGAAATTGCACCAATGTAAGTGTTTACGTTATCGTTTTAGGTACTACAAATATAGCCTGCTATTGTGCTCGTGGCCCATATGGAACAGCTAATGTTGTACATCTAGCTAGAATGCGCCTGCTCTTCGTAAAACCTTTTTTTTGTTGTTTTTGTTTGATTTCTCCAGTGCGCCGTCTACGAGGATGGTCGCCGGCATGTGGTGGTTTTTTTCTCTCATCATGGTGTCATCCTACACAGCCAACCTGGCCGCCTTCCTTACTGTGGTGCCTACCCAGGAACTCATTTCAGACCCTAAACAGTTGCTGAACCAGAACAAGATCAAATACGGCGCAAAGTTTCCGGGCTCGACCTGGAACTTTTTTGCGGTATGCATAGTTATGATATACATCGTATTGTAATAGTGTATTTCGACTAACGGAGGAAGAAGAATAGCGGGTAGAACATAAACGTTACCGATTGGTCGAGAGCGTCACGCCTTCTACGTCACGCCAGTAGTAGGGGTAGGCGCTCGGCCAATCAGTACCCTTAATGTTCTACCCGCTATTCTTCTTCCTCCGTTAGTCAAAATACACTAGACGGCTTTTTTAAGTTCATACTTTTCAAATTGTTCGTTCTATCCCTGTACCATGTTTCAGGACCACGGCACAACAGGATGCGGGTTTGCCTACTCGCTCCACCCGTAAGGCGCTATGGCACCTTGGGCATTCAAGCCCGCAACAATGTTGTGTCGTTGCCCTAACACACGGTAGAATTGCCAACTATAGTATTGCGCAAACTCGTATTTTACTAAATCGTGAAAAGTAAGACTTAAAATGGGAACACAAATGCCAATAATGCGCTTAATCACTTTTCATTTTCGGCACATGCAGGCATTCAGTTAAATAGGTTATTGCAAAAGTGCAGTTAGTGGTGTGAAGTTGGTTGTTAATCAAGTATACTACAGTTTGCCTATAAGTAGTGTCTATTGCCCCCCAGGGGTCGGAGGATCCGATCTTCAAACAGCTGTATGCGAACATGGAAAAGGTGTCCGACAATCTTCCTGGAGTAAAACGAGTCATGGATTCGGGTGGCGCGTTCGCCTTTTTTATGGAGTCCTCCTCCATCGAGTACCAGGCGCAGCGCGAGTGCGAAGTCCGCCAGGTGGGACAGAACATCGACGAGAAGGGCTACGGTATCGCCATGCGCAAGAGTAAGTCAAGCTGGAGGAACGCAGGCTGCGTTTGTCACGTTTATTCACTATAAATATGTTCACAAAAATATGTTCATAGATGTACAGTATGTTGTTTAATGTACTATTTATAAAATGCGTTGTACTTGTACACAATCACAATCATGCTCGTCGATGCTTGTCGCCAGTGTTTTCAAACGGCCGAATATTCGGTTACAGCATCCTACCCGCACCTGTGTTCAGGGTCATCGGACCCACCCGTTTAATACTGCGATACGCACCCACTGAGAAATTATTCATATCAGTACTACATCGTTTCGACGTTCATTCCACCATTTCGAAATAGTTTCGATTTCAATACCACTACAATTTCGAACTAGCCTGTGCTTGTAAATTTACCATTTTGATTGTAAATGCTTTTTGATTGCATTAAACCCCCAACCCTTTTGCCCCACCCACAGACGCGCCGTACAGGTCCGCACTGTCCGCGGGAGTGGTGAAGCTGCAGGAGAGCGGCAAACTGTCGGAGCTGCGGACGCGCTGGTGGGAACAGCGGCGCGGCGGCGGCAAGTGCTCCGGGGTGAGTAACAACAAATTACAAGAGTTGTGCGCACGACGCAATATTGTGATCACAAAGGTCTTCGTGCGCTCATTTTGACGACAGTAATGCACTCAAATCGTTCCTATAATAAGAGAATTTCGTGAAAGGCCAGGGCAGGGGACTGCCGTTTATCAGAACCCCGCTTTTAATATATTGTGATGCCGCAGGCCGCGAACAAGGACAGCGGCCAGCCCGAGCTCGGTATGGAGAACATGGGTGGGGTGTTCCTGGTCCTGGGCGTGGGGGTGTCCCTCGCCATGCTGCTGGCCTTCGCTGAGCTGGTCTGGGACCTGACCGCCAAGCGCCACAGTGGTGAGGTAGCATCCTTCCGCGCAGAGCTCCTGGAGGAACTGAAGTTTATTTTCCAATGGAGCGGCTCCACAAAGCCGGTAAAGAAGTCCGTCAAGTCTGAGGACAAGAAGGTAGAAGACGAGCAAATAAAGAAGGACTTTCAGCCACTTCCCTACACCGACAGCGAGGCGGGCCCCATTCAGAACCACAAGGAGCCGCTTTTTTAGGGGCGCTATTATGAAAACAAGGGAAAGTGAACATTGCCATTGCCAGTACACTGCTTTTAGTCTGAAGAGACAGCCTACTATTGTGACGGGTATTATTATTATTATTAATATTGGTGTCTTTATTCTTTTCTACGATTTTGTTTTTTGTGCTAATTTAAGCCATATAAATAAATTGTATAAGTTCCGATTTGTGAGCAAGTTTTGCCCTGGTCCTGCACTCGCCTCGGATCCGGTGGCAGCAAGAGTGTTTTTGCAGGGGGTATAGGGGCGTGGGCTTTTGGTATCGGTGTCGGTAGGTGGGGGTACGTCGGAGGGGGTAGCGCCGCGGCGTTGGCGGGCCCAGTGTCGCTCGGGACGCGCTGCTGGCAGCACGCTCCGCCGCGCCGGCTGCTATCGCGTCGTCTGCTGGCGCGCGTCGTCTGCTAGCTCGACGACGGCGCTGCCTCCTCCCCCCTTTCCCCCTGGCTCCCCTTGCCTCGCACCCCACTGGATTTGCACATTTATTGCAACCCTTTTATCAGAAGTGTTCTGCTTGTGTCGAGAGCTGTGTGTGCCCCCTCTCCCCTGTGACAGCAAACCCCTTTTCCCACTGGAGGCAAAAGTGTTTGGTAAGTGGTAAAATTAAAAAGAAAAAAAGGTATTGCTGTTAAAAGAAGATATAAAGTTTATGGTTGGTGCATGTTAATTTTTGTTTCCTGATTTCCCTTTTCCTTGCGTATTATAATGGTATTAACATTTTCTTGCAACTTATAGGTAGTTAGTAGTTGCATTGTGGGAGAGTTAAATTGCGATTGTTGATGGTACGCCTATTCCCCTTTACTGCGTGTGAAGGAATATTACATGTTACTGGTAATGTACCGGACGGTACCGGGTGTAACTGTGAATACGCAGCAGTGTTGCGGGTTTGCCTACTCTTTACACCCGTAAGGAGCCATGGCCCCTGCGGCCATATTTAGTATGCAATCCCGCAACACGGCTACGTATTCATAGTAGTTGCACCCGGTAGGTAATATTAATATTCTATCAATTTTGTAGTTTTTACGTCGTATACCAGTTAAATGTTTAATATTTTTGATGCAATATTATCAGTCCTGTGTGAGCGAAAAAGTATGGGGGTGTGCGACCTTGGCCCTGTATATAATTTTTGTATTTTCAAGCGGAAGGTGTACCACGTCGTTTCTTTGAATCTTCTGAAACAATGAGGACGCGGTTTAGTTGACGAACAGGCTGTTTCCAAACAATATTGAACGCAAAATATTGCATACATGCGTGGCCTCAAAATGCAACGACAACTCCGTCGAGAAGCCCGCCGATCATTTTTTCCTCATCAAGTTTTAGATAAGCGGATTTTTTCACCCAACCTATCCTCTAAACCTGTGTGTGCATAAACGCTGAATGGGCGCAGAGTCGACAATCTATATCTGACCAGGAATATACTAAGTCATCGGCATGTTATCACATTGAGTCCCTCATGACTACACGTATAGTCACAATAAGCTGTGATACCCACGCCCCCCCCCAAAAAAACCCTCAATGTGTTTACATTTTTCGTACACCTCATATTAGATTATAATAACCATAGCGCGCGATGGAACTCTGTACTCTGCCCCCCCCCCACGCCCTGCGGCCCCCTCTCCAGCGACGTAGTCGTTTTGTTTCGTGCTTTTCTTGTTTCTTTTTCTTCTTTCTTCCCCCAAGTGATTTCTGAGGAGGTGAGGCACGAGATACGGCTCTACTTTTGTGGACTGGGTCAGAGTGTCAATAACAAAAAGCCTGAACGTCAAAAACAAGAACTTTTCCTTCCCGTTTGTCTCCTTGCGCAAGTCGGGTAAACCATTCAGAGGCGCTCCAGCTCTGCATCCCACGGCACGCCGGCGCAATGAGAACGCTACAGGTTCGCGCTTCAATCCAAGAAGAGCGACAGTCAGCAGCTGTTTTGCTATTTTGAAGAATTCGAGGAGAAACTTTTACATATCACGTTGCGTTTGTGCAGGTTTTTCATTATTTTTGACTTAATGATAAACTCGCGGTTTTGGGGCGCGCACCAACGGCGTTACCGGCACCGGCTTACAGCTTGGAACGAGTAGGTCAAGCCCCACTGTCACTTTATTTGACCACTCACTTAGGGTTGCGACGGCCGGTAATGTTACCGGTAACGTTACCGGAAAAATTGGTAATTTACGGTAATTTACCAAAAGCTTGGTAACGTTGAAAAAAAACGGTAATAATAACCCTACAAAATGAGTTAAAAACTCACTTTTCAGAAGCAAAAGTCACATTTGGAATAGTAAATATGGCATATTATCACCTTTTTAGTCACTTTTTAAAGACCAGATAGCATATTTGTCATTATTCTGACGTTTAAAAGGCATAGCTTTAGATAACGATTTTTATAGGTGTACTTAAGGTAACTCTATATACAACTGATGTTGATGAGAACAAGATGAAAAACACAAATATTCCAATGAGTATAGCTAAGACCGGATATGCCGTCACTTTTTAGACAGTTCACACTAATTTCGATCGCCAAGAAATAGTATATTGCCAATTTTTCTGCTTCAAATTGAATTTTTCCAATTTTTCCAAAACTTCCGGTAAATTACGATTTTTACCGTAATTTACGGTAACATTGATTGTTACCGCTAATTTCGCAACCCTACACTCACTTAACTTTACTTTATGACCTTAGCGCGCATTATGTGTAAACAAAAGGTTTTGTTAGGCTTGCCAAAACTGTCGAACATCCAAAGACTGTGGTTCTATTTAAATTTTTAATCGCAGGTGTGTCATACAGTTTTTGGCTTCCTTCCCGCACGTCATACAAACAGATTGCGTCATGCGTCATGTCACATGAAAGCCTTTTGCACCGACCAACCCGGAGCCTCGGAAGCCTCTGCGAAGCTGCCGTTGGTCCAAATTTCAGCGGCAATACCTCACCACGAGGAAAATCACCAAACAGATGAGGACGGCGACATTGACAAGAACCTTACAGACTCTCTTGTCACTGCCCTGTCCAGAACTCTCTTGGGCTTGGGTGGACCTAACGATAATCACGGTGGGTCCTTCCGGGGGCGACGGCGTGGCTGTGGCGGGCGGCCAGTCCGGGGGCGGCACGGGCGGCGGCACTGGTGGCGGCGTCGGGAACAACAAGCGGGGGCCGATCCTGCAGGAGACGGAGTGTCAAACGAGGACCCAGAGACGTGTGTCCTTCCACAGAGTGTACTACTAATGCGTTTCTTGCATAACGTGTGAGTCATTAGCAATTACGATTCTTAAGATTAGAAATGTGACACGCTATCCCATTACGAAACACCAGTACAGGGACGTCACCAAGGGTTTTCTTGTCATCAATATACGGGATGTGACGAGAAAACCCATGACGACGTCCCTGTAGCCATGGTATTGTCGTCATCGTGGCAAGAGATTTGTATACAGTGCAGTTTCTCATACCGGTTTCGCGTAAACTAAAGAGATGAGTGAGTTTGTTCTTATCCACTTCTCATTTTTCTAAGAGGGCTGTTATTGCCATAGCCTCGGGCTCGGGCAGTACCCTATCGAACGGATCTAATTATTGTGATGCACGACAGGACGAGTGATTCACCGATAAACAACACAGACACACACACACATCTGCTCAGCCGCCTACCTGTCGTCGCCGTAGCGCTCCTCCATGACGCGCAGCAGGGTGTAGTTGGTGGCGAGGTGCACGGGGTGCGGGACGTAGGCCTGGAAATGAGCAGCAGTGCTGTGAGGACCGCCTCGGCCGGGTCGGGTGGGGCGCGGGGCCGAGGCCGGGCTCGAGGCGGGGCGGCGGCGCTCACCGTGCGGCACAGGGGGCACTCGCGCTTGTCGCTGCGCTGCAGGCACACCAGGCACACCGTGTGCCCGCACGGCGTCAGCTTGGGCGTGTTGGCCCCCGTGTTGTACTGCTCGAAGCAGATGTCGCAGTCCATGGCGGCGGCGGCGGCGGCGGCGGAGGCGGAGGAGGAAGCGCAGTCACGGCGGTGCGTCTGACTGACGCGGGAGGGTTGCCGCCGGTCAGAGGGACCCGGCCAGGCCGACCAGTGCCGCGTCGGACCGCGCGGCGATACGGGACGGGCCTATCGCAGATAACCGGAGGTACTCAATGTGAAGGTCGCGCGCAGGAGCGGGGCGACACGGCGTCACCTCACACTGGGGGGAGGGG